ATATATATATATATATAAATATTATTTTAATACATTTTTAAATAAAAAATACTTCAAAAAACAACTCCTACTTAAAAAACTTATTAATCAGAAATTTTATTCCCGCACGGTATAATGCATGCTAGCTGCAATACATTTTGACTTTTTAGTTCTTCGAATAGCCTTGTTAAAGAAAACTTTAAAGCAATGAAAAGCCATTTCCATTCAAACAATATAGCAGTAAGACATAACACATCAATTATAAGACTAAAGGCTTGTAAACAGACATTGATTATATTTGTATTTTTAAATAAGATTATTTGTCTGGGGTAGATGTTATCCCTTCTTTCAGAGCTTACACAAATATCCTGGCTACATCCATGTTCACTGATCTCAGTTTACGCTAACAGTAGTAGGATCTCGTCATGCACAAGATGTATGCTACCAGCAATGAGAGCATATGAATTGTGTGGATTTTATTGAATAAAATCGGCATAGAAAAAGAACAGCCTGTGTCACTACGGAGGACACCCTGCAGCAACCAAAATACTCATCACAAGAAACCACACTATAAAACGTCTAACTTGGTTTTTTCCATGGACATCACAAGAAACCATACCATAAAACGTCTAACTTGGTTTTTTCCATGGGTTATCCCCATAGTAGAAAGCAGTGCCAACCATAAGTGCCACAGTAGCCCCTTGGACAACCACCCTAGCTCTCATTAACACCTGACCCAATTGAGAATTGCCTCGCCTGAAACTGATTAAGCCAGCTGTGAGAACTCCTGCCGTCATAAGTGCACCTGCAATAGTTATAAAAAATCAATCAAACTGAAGCCATATACAGAACTGTCTAAAGATGAATCCCAGTTCTATCATGAGCGAATAGCACAATGAATTTGGAATTCCTGATGGCCAATATGCAACTACAAAGCTCAGATGTTTAAAATAAGAAGCTAACGGTAATATAAACCATCCATTTAAACTCCAGACACAGTCAGGTACCTGAACCCTTGAAGCACATTATCTTTTGAAAAGTGTGATCTGCAATAAATGGGTCTGAAAAATGAAAGATGATGTTCAAGGTAAATATGCCAGAACCAGAGTTTATCCACCAACGTGCTAGTGTTTGTGAAATGGAACCAAAGACCAACAATTTACATTCCATTCTATTACTGCAAATATACCAATTTAATCCTGTTTTCTACAAGCAATGCTCTGAAAATCAGGAAAAAAAATCAGTAGGAAACCAAATCGCCACCGCCATCCCTCCAATGAAAACAGGATAGAGAGGGAAGAAAATTCTTGAAGGCCATGCTTGTTTTGCGCTACGATTTGGAATGGGAACGGATTCTCATTGAATTTCTAATGTAATGTTGTTTAATTCACTGAAACATGGATTGCCATCATCAAAAAAGCAAGTTACAATACCTTTCCTTTGGTAGAATGAGATAAGGATACTTTAAGTGAGATTAATTCCTCCATATCTCTAGTGCTACACTAAAACAGCATTAGAAGTAAAGTTAATTTTGAGAATAAAAATTGCAGAATTCGAATTCTATTCACATTTCTAAGCAAACCCAACAAAAGGGCAAATCATAGAATCTCTCTGTTTCTTTTCTTCAAACCTTAAAACCCTAATCAATACAAACAAATTGCTAACAAATTTTAATTGGGCTAATGATTCCTCGAAAAAAAAAAGTATTCACTAATATGTTGCAAAAAAAAAAATGAAGCTTCAGCATCGCGTAATAGATGTATAAAAAATGAAAAGGGAAAGAAATGGGGAGGGAAGGATTGATTGAATATTTACCGACGGGAACGAGGGGGTTCCTGACGCGCTTCTTCTCCTCAAATAGTTGTTCAAAGTTGGGTTCTGCCGTGCCCATCTTCTCCATTAATTTGCTTTCTTTCTGACTCTCTATTAAATTCTTTTTTAACATTTTTTTTCCAGCAGGAGAAAGAAGAAATGGATCAAACAGAACCAGAGAGTAGCTAAAAACATGTTAAAATTCATTCACAAACACTCCTTAAATTTAATATATGGATATGGATAGAGACATTAACTTGGGTTTTAAATGATAAGTTGTCTGCATAGATATATGGGATGTGTCATTCCAAAAATAAGAAAAAAAACATTACAATATTTTTTAATGTGGGATATTTTTTAAAAATATATTAAAAAATTATTTTTAAATTTTTTTATATCAATACATTAAAATTAATTATAAAAAGCACTAATTTCATGTTTTATCAAGCCAAACGCACTAGGAAAAATAATTACTTTATTAATAATTATATATGAAATTAATATGCAAATGTTTTTAGAAAATTGATCATAAATATTTAATAAGAATTAAAAAATAATTTTATTATTTTTTCAATTATATCTATAATTAATTTTTCTTAATGTTGCTATATATTCGCTTGAAAATTATTGAGTTCTAATTTATTTATTTATTAGTTAAATGTTTTTTTAAATGATGATAAGTTTATTAAAAAAACAATGTTTCCAATTAAAAAACATTTTCTCATGATAAAAAAAGAATTATGTAAATTAAAAAAAATTCTAATTAAAGAGAAACATTTTTCATCCTTAATTCATATCATTGGAATTCCTATTAATATTAAAATCAATTACCTTTATTTTCTATTAGAAAAATCATATTCCTAATAAAAAAAACAAGATATTATCCAAGAAAAGAGAATATATGAATAAAAAAGGAATTTATCCTAAATTAATATTTTTTATAATTTAAATTATTTTTTTAATATTTAGTTTAATTATTATAAAAATAAATAAAAAATATATCTCTAAAATGCTTAGTGTGACAATGTAGAACCAAACTAGTTAACTAATATACTAAAAGATATGATGTTTTTTATGATGCTTTATTATTCTTATAAACAATGAAGCAAATTATTTTTTTATTTTCAAAATTTTTTTCTATTAAATTTTTATAACCTAATTAGATGAAGTTAAATAAAATTATAATAAAAAATAATGAATTAAAAGAGAGATGGTAGAATTTGAAAGAACACATTATTACCACCAAACTTGTGGTAATTCCATTTTCACATAAAAAATTATTTTATTTATTTTCAATCTTTGAGATAAGGAAAAAGAAGAAGAGAAATCTACTAGAAAATAACAAAAGAAATAAAAAGTTGTATGTTGTCATTATTTTGGGAGCAAAAATTAAAAGTATTCATGGATATTATAGGGTCGAGTTTAGATTCACAATTGAATTCATTTTAACTTTTAATGTTTTATAAATTATAAATCTGATTCATTTAATTTTCTTAACCTAAGCAAGTTAGATATATTATGTTACACTAAACATTTTATAGATATTACATGTGTTCATGAATTGGGCCTATGTTTCTAATTTTCATGAGTTGGGCTTAAGTAAAACTAAGATTTGGACTCCATGAATTAGCTCAAAACTTGTTATAAACTATAACAAAAGATTTAAGCTTCGTATATAAACTAAATGAATAATTAATTGTAAAAACATAAAAAAAACATATAAAAACAAATTAATTTGTAATATCCACATTATTGATGGGCTGTATAAGGTATCTGAGTTAGGTCAAGTTGATTGAATTTTAAAAATTTTAACATGTCACTTGACCTATGATATTCATTAGAGGTATTAAAAAAAACTGACCAATCAATTAAATTGTTAAAACCATAGGAAAAAAACAATAAAAAAACTCCAAACTAAGAGAGAAAAAATTGATCAAACTAATTTAAAAATTAAAAAAACTCACTTGATCTAGTTTGGTTTTGATTTTAAAAGTTAAAATTGAATAATCAAATTGGACTAATGTACCTTAAAGGTTTAAACCTACTTAAAAAGGAGAGATGTATAAATAGAAAAGTAAGCTAACTCAAGTTCACTAACTCTAAAAACTTCCCCATTTTCCCAGTAAAAAGGATAGTCATATCATTCCATCTCTCTTTTTGGTTGCTATCTCCTCTCCTTTTGGTTTAGGTGTTTAGTTTTCATTCTGGTTCTTAAATGTATTTTGTTTTTATTTTAAAATTATTGCTTTTATTTATTGTCCTTCATCATTTAAAGTATATAGTTTACACAAAAAAGCCATGGTGAGCCAGTGTATAATCCATTCAGTTTTTCTTGTAAAGTTGTTAGAAGTGGATGAAACTTTCTATATTAAAATTATAAGTATTCTCCCTCATTTATCTATACTAATCATGACTTTATTTTTGAAAAGGTTGATGCACTTCTTGCCTACCACTACCATTAGTAGTTTTTGGGCAACTTGTATAATTTTCTTGATTGATATATTTGCATTTGCATACTCTAACGGGGACCTTGAAAGAATATAGTAAATAATTTGTTTGATAATTTTTTTTTTCACCTTTTCTTTGTGTGCTGGTTGTTGTGATTAGATTTTCTGGTTTCATTCTAAAAAAACAAATCTTGATTTAATTGAACCAGTTTGATTTGAACTGGTTTTTGCTTTGGTCCATTTTTTTAGGAAATTTCATTTCTCGATTTAGTTAGGATTTTCTTATATATATATAAAACCTAGATGACACATCATTGTTTGGTTCTTGACCCATAAATGTTTTGCTTTTA